AAAAAAAAAAAAAAAAAGCAAGACAAAACAAACCAAGTAGGAGGTATTTAAGAAATATGAGGTAGCTGGGAAATAACTTATTTCTTGAAAGAAGAGCTAGAGCAAGCATGCATACTGAGAATCTATATTCTATTAGCTGTAGATGAAGAATAAATAGAAAATTCTAGAATTTGTGTTTATCAGAGAGTTTAGGAGTATTTTAATTTTGGGGGGAAAGGTCCAATGTTCACTCTTCTACTGAATGAAAATCCAAGTGCATGACCACATTTGTATTCCTTTTCTCATCAATCCATCTGTTCAAAGTCACACCTTAATTGATTTCCTTCCTCAGTGTCAAGGAACTGAGTCTTCAGAAGGTGGGGTTGGGAGAGTTTATCATCATTGTGCGGACACCCGGACCATGGCAGAAAGGCCAGCCTCCGGTCATGTTCAGGAGCTCAGACCAGGATCCTGTACTATGAGGACAGCAGGGGCAGTGGCAAACACTCAGGTGACACCAAAGCAGCGTGGTTCCCCTCGGAGGACAGGGGGGTTGCAGGTCAGGATGACCAGTCCTTCGCAGCATGGGACCTGCACTCTAGCATAGGAAGGAGAGAGGCAGAGCGTCCCAGGGAGCAGCAGGAACAGGAGGCTCACAGACAGAATGATAAATATGTCACTCTGTCCCCAGAGTACCCACGATGCAGACACTATGTCCTGAGCCACACGGTTTGGACAAGGTCACCCAGCGGAGTGGCACCTGTGGCTCTTGATCTAAGACCTACTTTAATGCACATGGCTATATTTCTTTCCAGATGAGGACAGAAGCCACTCTGCCTTGTCACACTCACAATGATGTGGACCAATTTTCCCAAGAGTTTCCACAAGGCCTTTTATTTTATTTTTCGTTTTGTATGGCAATTGGGTTGTACGTGATCAGTTTCAAGTACAGGTGAATTATAAGTGGAAATTTTCTGAGAGCAACTGAGATGTACTTGACATTTTGGGGTCCCAGTAGCTGAGAAGCTCTCAGAAAGTCCGTACACAACTTTGCACTGCAAAATGCCAAGGGCAACTCAACAACAATTGAAAGTTGAGAGGGAAATTTTATTCTACCCCAGACCATCCACATGGACACTGCAGAATGATTTTTGTTCTATTGACTGCAGAAGGGGAAATGGAAAATTGTCCATTGATATTGAAGAATTTCTCCTATTAGGCATTCATCTCTCAGTGTGATTTACCAGTATGGTTTTACTAGTCATCTATCTACACCATGCCAAATGTGCATTTTCTTTCCTTGATTTGTCTTACATCAAGAATTGTGTCACCAAAGAAGATTTTACATCCATGTTAATTCTTCTGTACTCTTAGCTTCTAATGGCCACAATCTTTTTTTCATATATCATGGAGAAAAAGGTGGGAAGGATGTATCCCAAAACAGGCAGACTTCAAAAACTCTTTACAGAGAAACAAGTTTTCCTTGAGGTTGTTAACGTAAGATTACACAACAATGGGATTAAAAAAAAATCAGAAACAAATCCTTTGATAAAATGAACCAATGTGTGTTCGGTTTTGCATTGCATGATGGTGGTGATGGGATAGTTTCTCTGCCACACATTGCACTTTGTGACTGTTGCTAGAAAGCTTAGCTATATGTGACCACTCCAGTTTTGTTCCATTTGTTGTGGGATTGTCCCTTCAAATTAGCAGTGCTCGGAAGACTGGGTATTTTAGCAGAAACTTAGGAATTAATAGACTGATGTATGGATCAGATCATCCATGAGTGTTAATGAAGTCTCTTATTCTAGATATATCGATTGTCACTTTTTATCATTTCTTCATTCAGTTAATATTCATAGTTTCTACTTGAATTTAGCGCTGAGCTTGGGTGCTGAGATGAAGTGGTGGTAAAACCAGATGCGGTCGGTCTCTTCCTTCACGGATCTTATGAGTTAAAAGGAGGAAATAAATAAAAATAGTGCAAAAATAAATGTATGAGAAAGAAATTTGTGGTGGCTTGAGCTCAGGCATGGGAAACAGGCAGATCTGTCCCAACATCACCTTGCCCTGTTCCTAGCTTTTTATCTGGGAAGACACTGAAGCTCATGGAGCAGCTATTCTATCTCTGAGAGGGTCTCTGCCTGCCAACCACGAAGGACTGCGGTATTATCAGAAATCAACACAGACACTGCCTGATGTCTGTTAGCACAGGTGATGAAACTGGCTTGTTCCGTCAGAGGAAGAGGATGGGATCTTCTTTCCCTCTCCCACTGGAGCTCGATTATCCATTTTCCTGATTTTCTAAGTCCATCAGAATCCGAGAAGCACAGAGACATCTTGTTTATATCAGTTAGTTTATCAAAGTTATCCCTTTCCCAGAGAAAAAACATAATAGAATTGCTTTACATTTCCATGTGTTGAACATATACTACATGCCAAGCATTGTGTCAGGTATTTGCTAGTTTTATCTCTTCATGGATAAAGAGAATCCCCAACTTACTACGTGGAAGTCAAATCTGTGCTATATGAAACCACTTGCTCAGGAAACATCAGCGGCAACTGAATATAGGTCTTTCTGCAAAGCCCCCCCCCCCCCCGTCTGCTAGGCTCTTGGCAGGACTTTCTCAACTTCCTGAGTGGGAAATTGGGATTCTCCATCCTGCATTCTTCTTCCATTACCTGCTACACATCCTGCTCCTCTGGCTCTGCTACACCACGGATGTGCCAAATTCTGCTACCGCTTCTGTGCTCCGGCAAAAATCAGGGCGAATGAATGTTCTCTTAATTAAATGAGTGGTTTTCTGGGAAATGGTGGTAAATCGCTTTAATAGGGCTGTCTAGGCTGGTTGGGGGAGGACAGATATGGTGAAGGGTTTTATTGCGTGAAATGCAAAAACATGAAGAAAGAGTGAGCCGACGAGGCCACCTCTCTCTAGTGTGGCACAATGGTCAATGCAGTAAAAGGCAAAGGGAGGAGTCCATTCCAGGGAAAAGAGGAAAGCAAGGAAAAAACAGATGAGGGTTTTGGTGACTTCATTTATAGTTGGGCTTTTGCTACAGATTTGGGAGGTGGGGAAAACACCATACCTGTCTAATATACTTAATTCAAAAACAAACAAAACAACACTAGTTCCTATCTGTAAGTAAAGCAAGTACCATCAAAGTAATTGCCTAATTAAATGAGAAAGATGTCTTATAAATGTTGAAGGGTGCTAGGCTTAGGATGGATAGACGAGATAAGTAACATATAAAATTTCTTGTTCTTTCTTATTTTATAAAATTTTTAATTTTTTTTGTTTCTTTCAATAGATCTTGTTATGTAGCCCAGGCTGGCCTTGAATTCATGAATCCTCTTACTTCAGCCTCCCAAGTGCTGGAATAGAAGGCCCACACCACCATGCCTGGCTCACATCTAAAATTTCAAATAGAAACTGAATGATTTTAAAGATTCTTTAAATTTCTGATGCGTGCACATATATACAGGACAACTTGTAACCTTCGGAATATAGAGAATTTGTGTAATTAATACACAGAAAGACTTTACCATTAGTATTCAATAAATCTTTATACTGTATAATTAGTAAATAGATGAGCATGGGGAAAAACCATTCAGATTTACTTATTTAACATGGAGATTGGCTGAAAGTCTAAAGCAGTGATAGCCCCAAATTCCCTCTACAATCTGTGAAATGAGATGATCAATCACATTTGGAAGTTATTCATTACAGAAATAGAACAGAAGTTGTGGAAAATGGGACAAAAGTAGGAGTTACACACTGGGCTAGAAGAAGCGAGAAGTTCATTTGTCCCTTCTAAATCCGGAGATGACCATTCTTCTTTGCTCACTTAATCACAGTAAGCTGGCATGTAAGGATGACTTGGGTTGGCTGGATTATATTCTGAAACAACGAGAAGCACTGGAGAACACGGCTAGCTAAGATATTACTCTGGGGTTCACCTTCGAGTGGGCCCACACTCTAGCAGGTGGAGTTTCCCTTCAGGATCCTGGAGCTTCTGTCTTAAGCAAGAAAGCACAATCTAGGACAGCCATATTGGACAGAAATGTCCAGCATTAGAGGTAGAACAAACAACAAATAATCACAATGGAGACAAATGAGAGTAGAAGAGAAATAAAAATCTAAACAAAAGAAATTTAAAAAACCCAAACAAAGTAAAGAAAAGCAGTAACAAACACATTGAATTATACTTCCCCCCAACACATCAGTCCCTTCTACACACCCTAAGAAGAGAAAAGATGTTGTAAAAAAGAACAGAGGGCAATAAAGAGATCTTAGAGAACAAGAATGTGACTACCAGTGACAAGATGGGAAGACACAGGCCACTGAGCAAGCCACACGCTATGGACGTGTCCCGGGCTCCTCCCGGGGACTGCAGGACAGGAGACCATGGGCCTCTTCAGAGATCTCCAGGCTACAACGGAGTGATTGTGTTGAGTAATGTCTATTTTTTCTCCTTTCCACAATGCTCATTGGCATTTAGCGATTGTACCAATGAGCTCTATGTGGGAGCCTGCTATGCTAGAAAACTGAAATTTCTATTTAAAGTTTCTTCCCTGGCTTCATAATCCAGGTAACTGTTTCAGTTCACATTCTGCTTTTGCCGAAACACTTATTAACTTGTTACAGTTTCCTCATTTGTTAGTTTCTTGACCACAATCAGCCATCAATCACCATTAGATAAGCATGTTATATATTGGCAAATAGCTCTGTATATACTTGCTAAATTTTCTCATATAAATGTCTCAATACATTCTGCTTCAGAAACAGATTTTTTTTAAAAAACAGCAAGGATGGATGAGTGATCGTGTTTCTCTTAGGCAGATTTGCGGTGCATACTTAAATGTTCTTTGCTGGACACTGTCTGTAGGAGATCAGCTGCCCTCTGTAGATTTTTGAAAGAAGTTTCTGTGCATGCTATGGGTTCACATTCCTTAGAGGATTTGTCAAAATTATACTTCTTACTGGGGAATTAGAAAACAGAACCCAATCCATAATTTTTATATTTTATTCATTATGCTTCTTAATTTAAAAAATGGGCCATGATAACTCACCTGTAACTTAAAAAATACCCTCTCAATCTCCATAGTTTTAGAATAGTCATCACATCATCTTATATCCTCCCCACCCTCCACAAAAGGACCCCTCTTAGACCAACAACCAAACCAAACCCAAACAAACAAGACACCCAACCTCCACCCTCCGGAACACAAAAGAATAAAGGATAAATCCACAAACAAGCAACAGCAAAACATTACCTTGAGCTATGTAAGACATGGTCTCCTCTTTGGGAAAGGTGGTGGTGGGTCGGGGTGTGGGCGCGGGAGGTCTGTTCATGATGAAAGACTGGCTTCCAGGTTTTTTCTTTACACTCATATTGCTCAGAATCATGTCGTACTCGTTCTCATCAATCTTAGCAAACGTGTATGGGTCCTCCTCTGCCTCCTGCACCTTTTCATCTTCTTTCTTTGCTTCTCCTCCTTTGGGTTCATCTCTTGTTTCCTGTCTTGCCCTGAAATCATTCCAGTTGTGACTTCTTTCCACCGGGCTTTCCCCAGTTTTCCCTGTGTGTGAAATATTTAAATTGCATTTATTTTTGATTTGCTATACTCCTAGTGCCATCTGTCACTCCAGGGTCCCAAAGTAGCTTCATCAAACGCCACAGGGAACATGTAAGAGGTCCTGTTCTCCAGAAAAATAAATATATTTTCTCACAAATCCTAATAGGAAAGTGAGCTGCATACTTTACTAACATGGCATTTTGTAGTTTGTTATTGTTAATTTTTAAAAGAAAAAACCCTTTAAGATATGGATTTCTTTGAAAACATAAATATTTTCCATATTTTATATTTATGCATATATATTTAATATCAGGAAATTGAGGCATAAATCTAAATCTCAAACTTCAAGTGTTTTGAAAATGGGTATTTTTCAAGCACAATATCCTTAGATATTTTTCACTTGGTCATTTTTACCTTTCTTATTGCTTACACTAGGTATTTTGACTGGAATTCAATTTCTCTGAAAATGCTGGGGAAGGAAGAGCCAAAGGTACTACTACTTAGCTTCCAAGCAGTCAGTTTCTGGCTGTGACAAACTGACCTTCAGAAATACAACTTGATTCTTACAAGCCAAGATAGACTTCATTCACAGATGACGGGGAAAGGAAGGTTGATGACATAAAAGACAGCACAATAAATCGGTGGCTTGATGTTTAACTTATATGAAAAGAATAAAACAGGCCTTGGTAAAATCCTTATAAACTTGTATAAGAATATGCTAATGTATTTTGGTAGCAGTTATTTATTTATTTTATTTAAAAAATGTTTTTGCTTAAATTCTTTTATTGGCACATTTGAGGTATACAATAAGTTTACATTTATCATTGGGTATTTGTACCTGTACATGATGTATCTTGGTTCTTATTTTTCCCCAATCCCTGTGCTCCCTTTACCCCTTTCACCCTTCCCTATTTACAAAGACTTTGTTTCTATTTTTTCCTTTTCTCATAGTTTTTCCTTTTCCCTTCCCCTCATACTTCCCCTACCCCTCTGGACCTTTCCTTCCTATTTGAAATGATCAATTATTCATTTTAATTCTTATTTACACTTTCAGTTTCTCACACTAAAGAAGCTATTTGGTATATATGCATCTATGTCCTATTTATTTCACTTAAGAGTATGGCCGCAATATGCATCCATTTAGCTATAAATGACTCTAGTTTGTCAATCTTTATGGTTGAGTAGTTCTCCATTTTATTACCCCGCCCCCCACATCTTCTTTATTCAGTTTCCAGTTGATGGCCACTTGGGCTGTTTCCAAGCTTTAGCTATTACAAACTGTGCCGCTATAAACATGGGTGCACATATATCACTGTGG